TTGAAGGTTTTTACGGGCAAAAAATTCAATGCATAATCAGGTAAAGTCAGTCGACATTTCTTGACAATCCAAAGTGGCAGAGTTAAGTAGATACGTTTGGATTAAAAATATTCACTGCAAAGAGTAAACCTAAAATTATTCCAGCCGTAGTGTCGACTGATTTTATTCCAACTGCACATGCAAATTTTTGCTCATAAAAACCTCCGTAACTCCTCACCCAGAAACCGCAGCAGATAAGGAAGATAGATTTGGAATCAGCGTTTCATACCCTTCGAGGCAGTATCCATCTCATATAAAAAGAATTGGCCTTCCTTTTCTTCAGATGAAATTAAGGTGCAAGTGGAACCATAAATCGAAAAAGCATAACGAGAAGGTGAAGAGATACCTGCTCCCAGATTTGCTATCTCGACGGTGACACGTGTAGAAGCAGGAATGTGAATCTTATCCTCTAGTTCAAGTTCCTGGACAGAGCGCAATAAATTAACAAAATGTCAAAACTGTAAATTTCACCTACTTTTTCCAACCCGACGTCGCAAAGCATTCCACGACCAGCTTTTATTGGTTTGTCTAGGATCACTCCTTCTCTGAATGGAATGGAAAGATCATCACTTCGCAGATGATGGTGTGCATCAAGAGGATTTAGGAGACCTATAATGCAGAAAAACATCTTCAAAGAAGTGTAATTTACCGCAAAAGAAAAGTAAGTGAAATGGAGGGAATCAGGGTAGAAAGTAAAAATCGTGGGAATAAGCAAGAAAAAGAAATAGAAGCTTGCGAAAAATTGCTATAACACACAGGACAAAGCAAGAAAAAACAAATATTTTCAAAATATACAAATCTCATGTCCTTCACCTGCATATTTCAGCGGTTTCTGGAATGAAAACAGATACTTCCTCAAGTATTGTGGGCATTCAACATATTCCAATATTCGAGCTAAGTGAAAGCAAGCCTCAAAATTAGCATCTGACAATGGCACATCTCCTCTCCACTTTCCAGACCAGTACGCTGCTACATTCCTAGATATTAAGACTCAGAGATAATTGCAAGTTGTTCATACCAAATTCCAAATTTTCAAACAAACACACTCTTGCGTCATCTTGCAAGTTTCGTCATAAACTATCACATAGTCAACGCAGAATAACGTAGCTGCTCGTGCGATCTGGAAAGAGATGCTGAGAAGAAATTTTCAAAGAGTATACGACAATAATCCCTGCCCTGCCATATATGTTCTCAGTTCAGCACTCTGTCCATTATTGAGAAATGAGCCGGGGACAGCAATTGAGATCGAATATTTGATTTCTAAGACATATATGAAATCCGAAAGGCTAATGATATAGAAAGCTATATACAACGGAAGACCTACAAAACGGCTACCTTTCTCGTTCTGTTCCTTATCAGCAAGTGGAGCTTCCTTTTGTTTCTTCAGTTCCAAATTCTCTTTGAGCAAAGCCTTTTCTCTCTTCTCAGCGGTGGCTTGCTTATCTGAAAATAATCATAGC